CTGAGAGTGCGTGGAATTATCTTGCATCTGTTGTGGGTGGGTGGGCGATAGTCTGCGCTGTGCTTGATTTGGATCATAGCAGCAGAAGGATGACTTGAAGCATTGGTGTTTTTTTTTTTTTTTTTTTTTTTTTTTTTTTTTTTTTTTTTTTTTTGTTTGGGAAAATCACATTGCCGAGGGTGGTGCACTGGTCTCCTGGGGTGATATGGAGCACCTCCCGGTGCTACCCCTACACCCGTGGCTCGAAGCATTGGTATGGGCCTGTTCATACTGTTTCTCTAAGGGTTCATTCTCCTGATGAGTCAGTCAAAGCTGCAAAACAGTGTGACACAGCCCCCTGGTTTTTCTATTTTTCTCTCTCTTCGCCTGCCGTTCACGTAGTGCAGTCTATGCGCACATTCCATCCCTCCAGCTTTCTTCATGCAGCACTGCATTTAGCGGAGTCGGCAATGACCGCAGAAATGTGTGGAAGTTTCCACTTTCCACCTTGCATTCTCACTCTTGTAACTTTTATCCTTTCCCTCTGTTCTACCCAAGTCAACCACCACCCTCTCTGCTCCTTTCACCTTTTTTTTTTTTTAAAGAACGCCTTTCACTGTTAGGAAGTAACACGTTAACGTATATTTGAAACTGCTAGTACACGGCCCCAGCCTTGCAGAAAGTTAACTTGTCGCAACGAGCAAAACTCGGAGGCGCCGCGCGGCCAGGCCCGCCGTTGAAAAAACAAACTGCGGCCTCCACAGTGGTGCGGGTTTCATGCTGACAACCGTTGGCCGATATGTGGTGTACTGGTGCTTAAAGCCTCTGAGTATAGTAGTTCTCCCATCAGGCCAGAGGCTGGACGCTGCTGCCTGCGGAAGCTCTGAGTATAGTAGTTCTCCCATTCTATGGGATGCTGGTTGGCAACGGAAGAGGGTCTTGGATTCTGCGTGGACGCTGCTGCCTGCGGAAGATCTCATCGATGTCCTCCGTTGACGATGTAAGTCCTTGCTGCAATGACCCTGGGGTGGGCTGAATGTCACGACCGGTATGGCTTCAGTTAAACTTTGAACATCGGGTCGCCGTTGCAGTGGTGAAGGCGTCTGGCTTATACGGCCGAGGTCACCGGTTCGATTCCTTTTGCCCGCGGAAGATCTCATCGATGTCCTCCGTTGACGATGGAAGTCATGGCTACGATCCGGACGTCCGGACCGCCGTCCAGACGGTCCGGATTCGGTACGGACTCCGGAGGTCCAGACGGTCCGGATCTGCCAAATTTCAAGAAAAAAAAAAAAGAAAAAAAATCGGTCCAGGACCCTTCCCCATTGAGGAGCCAAGCCCCTAAAATTGTTTTGGGGGGGGTTCGGGCCCGTTTATGCTTTTTTGGGGGGTCCGGACATGCTCTCTCTCTATAATAATTTATTAGACAACCCCAAGTTTTTTATTATGAATAATTCATTACCTTTTATTAGTTTTTTAAAACTTTTTAACTCTTTTTTTAAGCTTTTTATAGTTTTTGACTTTTAACACAAGTTTGGTTAGGAATTCTGACATGACTCTGAGGCAAAAGTGGTTTGCATTGTTATTCTGCATAGCATACTGTTTTTTTTAACGTTTTTCAGATTCTTTTTTTTTTTTTTTTTTTAATGGTCCGGACATTTCCGGACCTGTCCAGACATCCGGACCGTCCGGATCTCCCATGTCCGGAGGTCCGGAAATGTCCGGAATTCCGGACGTCCGGAAACTACCAGACACGGGTCCGGTTCCATGTCCGGAAATGTCCGGGTCCGGGTCCGGCGTAGCCATGATGTAAGTCCTTGCTGCAATGGCCCTGGGGTGGGCTGAATGTCACGACCGGTATGGCTTCAGTTTAAATTTGAACATCGGGTCGCCGTTGCAATGGTGAAGGCGTCTGGCTTATACGGCCGAGATCACCGGTTCGATTCCGTTTGGCTGCTGATCGATTACTGGGCTACCATTGACAAACCTACCATAGCAACACAGTGGGTGAACCGGCAGGAAAGCGGACCTTACAAAAAGGCAGGTGTGGACCGAAAAAAAAAAAAAAAAAAAAAAAAAAAAAAGGTGTGGACCGATTCGATGGTGGGGTGCACCCGGGTGGGCGGTTGACTGGGCCAGGTTTCTAAGTTGGTTGGCTACCTTCTTCCCCCGAATACAATGTGCGGTCATTACGGCTGTATTTAGACTGAAAGATGCCCCAAATACAGCTATAACGACCGTGCGTTGTATTCGAGGGAAGAAGGTAGTTGGTTGGTTAGTTGGCTGGTTCGCAGGTTTGGTAGGTGCTGGGCTTGTTGGTTTGTTGATCAGAGGCTGTACTCACACCAGGACTTTTTCTCCTAACTTCTGGACTTGATTGCAGTTCGATTCATCCAGGTTTGCCTGTGATTACAGTCGGATACATTCAGGAAAGTCCTAGTATGAGTATGCTGTGAGAGTGTTTTCTCTTCTTCTTCTTCCTCTTCTTCTTCTTCTTCTTGAAGTTCTTCTTTTTTCACTCACGACCACATGGCCCATCTTTTTTTTTTTTTTTTTTTTTTTTTTTTTTAACCAAACATCAATGACGGGGAGTAGGGGATGTGCCGGTAAGAGCAGACACCCCCTCTACTATCCCCGCTCGTTTGATGGGTCTATTCCATTGGTGGGGAGCTGCAACTGCTGGAAAACGGGTCCAGCGTCCCTTTACATCATAATAACAAGGAGCCAAATGGTGTTATATATATATCGGTATGTCAAGTTATATATGACTCGGATGAGCAGCATTGATTGCCCTCCTTGCAAGGGGATTAACTGCCCATCTATCACAGAGGTGGACTAACACGGATCACCTTCAGTACTTGTGCAATCCACCCATTTTCAAGACGAAACCCTAAGAAAAACAGAGCAAATTATAGATTGTGGCTAATGAGCAACTTGGACAGCCCTTCAAGCGAGAGAGGATTAACTACTCGTCAACCTGCACGCTGGCGACTAATCCTTCCATAACAACCCCCCCCATCAAATCAACTAACCTCCTATGTAGCCTACGGAGAGGGAGTCTCCAGACCCCTCCAATCCAGAAGCTCCCACGCCGCCCACCTATCACATGCACACGTCCAACGACAGTTGTTTTATGCACGTCATCAAGGCGCCCACCCTAATCATCCCCCCCTACACCGTGCGGGCAGTTATTTCATGTACATCATCAAGGCGCCCACGTATTGTCGTTGAACATCTATCCTATTGTCATGAGTGACATCTGCTGATCGTGGAAACAGGAATTTGAATCACGATATCAACCACCCCCTGCGTCGCGCAGATGCCTATTATAATTATCCAAACTGTTACCAGTCCCTTTGTTTACAATATTCGGTGCATGATCCGTCGCCAAAAGGAAAGGGAAATTTGTGTATTAGCCTACTCTACATAGTCACAGATTCCACAGACTCACAGGGAGGGTCGCGATCACCCTCTCCCTCGGCCACCCCTTTCAACCCACGGGATTTTCGATTCCCTTCTGGCCTTGTGGGAACTCCCATACTGCCTTCCAACCCAACTTGGTCGCTTGATCCTGGTTCCGACCGTCATTCCAGTCCATGCTGGCAAGGGAGGAGGGTACTCCTCCATCATCTCATGTACGAATACGACAAAACCAGATGGAGAACCCGTACTTAACTTCACATGCTGTTCGCAAGCAAGGGGAGTCAGCGGTTGGGCCTCCCCCTTATTTTTGCTCATCGTCCCTGCACCAAGCCTCGGTCGAGCAGCTTCGTGCAGATGGCAAGTTGTCATCTCACCCCCCGCATGTTGTGCTTTCAAGTTTTGAAGCCAGTTAATGTCGTCATGATCATTGATGACTGTATATTGAGCACGGAGAAGGGAGGTTGCTGCACGGAGAAGGAAGGTTGCTGCTCCGCTTCCTTCTCGCTCCAGCACATGTTGAGAGACCATAATTTCCCCCTCCGGCTGCACTCCCGTTCTCCCACAGCCAAAATCATCTTGTATGTTGTCCTGGTTATCTTGAAGTTGCTCCAGGTAGTCGAGTCGGACCCTCGAACCGCCGCCATCCCCACCAGCTTTCTCGGGTCGATAGMTATCCAGATACAACCCAGCATCATCGCCTTGTTCGTGCACAGGACAGACCAGTATAGGCTCGGCAGCAGGAACCTGCWCGCCAGATAAACGGCTCCTCTCCGCTGCTRCACGAAGCTCGGCAAACATCCGTCTCATGTCTTGRAGCAGTCTGGCGCACTGGTGTAGGTCAGCCTCCACCTGTGCTCTGCCGGTCTCATCCAGCCGTTGAAGGGAGACAATATCGTRTAGTTCYTTCTTCCATCCCTCGAAAGTCTCCTCTCCTTCCTTCAAGAATTCGAGCGGTATATTGTTCCGCTGCTGATTCAGCAGCGCCCACACTTCCACGTCTTGGAGCAGTCTGGCACACTGGTGTAGGTCAGSCTCCACCTGTGCTCTGCCGGTCTCATCCAGCCGTTGAAGGGAGACAATATCGTATACTAGTTCTTTCTTCCATCCCTCAAAAGTCTAATCTCCTTCCTTCAAGTTCAAGAATTCGAGCGGCATATGGTTTCACTGTTGATTCAGCCGCGCCCACACTTCCTCCAGCTGCTGTTTGTACAAAGATATTGTCGCGATCATTGTATCCACCTCCTTCAATAGCGCATCAGCCTCCGTAGTTTGCTCCGTAGGACATTGCACGGCAGGAGGGATGTCCTGCAGCTCCATTTCCTGCCCGATCGCCATCACCATTCCCAACCCTTCAGCAGATCCCCTCGCCGCTTCTCTTGCGCCCATCATTCGGGCGCATACGTCGAGTGCCACGTGTCTCTCGGATGGATCAGCGTTGAGGCCACGTCAGAGGTAGCCCCCGCCGTGTTGCAAGGGGAGTAGACTG